AGGCAAAACATGTAACAAAAATAATTTATCTTCTATGAAAGCTTTTAAAATTTATTTTTAAAATATTAAATGCATGTTCATTACAGAAAATCTGAAATTGCTTTTAAAGTCAGAAAAACCAGTAGCAATCTTATTCATGAAATTCCTAATGTTTCATGACTAAAAGTGAAGGTCATATTGATGGTAACAAGTATAGCACCCCATCCCAAAAATATCACGCTGAGGCGTTTGCTAAGTCCAGAGCTACCTTTGCAAATACCTCTGTTCTAGTCATTTCCATAATAGACCTGTAAAATAGATACTTTTCCTTTCATTGGGCCATAAAAAGGAGTTGAAGCTCAGAAAAGTAACTTTCTGCTATAGTTCGGTTATTGAATATCCCTACAGGTCAGTGCATTGAAATCCTGGTCAAGAAGGTAGTACTATTCAGGTCTTAGGAAAGATTCTTAAGTCAGTGAGGGTGTACCCTTAAAGCGGATCCCGAAACCCCATCTCCTCCTGTTCTTACTCGTCTGTCTCCTGGCTCATGACGTAAGCCACAACCTATGTCCTGATCTGCTGCCCTTACCGGAAGTCCAAAGCATGGAGCCACTTGTTCTTGCGTAGCAACCTCCAGAACATTAAACCAAAATAACCTTTTTCTCTTTCAGAGTAAACCACATCAAATATTTTGTTATAGTAACACAAAGGTAATAAACTTGCTACTGGTACCAGGGGAAACTATATCAAAACCAGATTTGGTTTCTTTTCACTATATGTAAGTCTGCCATCAAGTAACAAAACAAAAATCTTAAGTAAAAAGTCTTGACTAGATTACACTTGAACTAAAACGTATTCCCGTATTGGTTAGTTTATTTTCAGCTTTTTGAGACAGGGTCTCACTATGCAGTCCAGACTGCCCTTGAAGTTGCAGCAATCCTCCTGCCTCAGCTCCCAAGTGCTAGGATTATAGGCATGCACCACCATGCCTGACCTACTGCCATATTGTTAATAAGATGATTTAGTTTTCAAAGAGCCATGATTTAATTTAGATTCCAACAGTTATTGCTTCCAAGAGTTTTGGTTCTGAAGACCTGGAAGTATTCTCATTCTTAAAGTGGTTAAAATTACTATTCTGCATTAAAATCCATGTAAATAAACAAGTATCACTGCATAGGTCAGTATTTCAAGCACATAAAGTCTGATGGGGAAATGTCCCACCATATCAGACACTCTCAAGCTGCATCCCTATTTCGGTAATGATCTTTACCAATTTTTACATCTGGAGCCGACAGCACATAGTTGTAAGCTTGTATGTGGATATATGATATAAAGTCTCATAAACTTGAATGTTTTGCCCACTAAAGATGTTCTAGAGATTCTACATAACCTAAGCATACCACTAATGCACTGCTTTAAATAAACGGTGGTTCACTGATTGGTACAATATATACACGTTGCCCAAAAAGAACACCTAGCTCCTTTGGTGCTCAGTGGTACACAGTGACCTACATGACCGTTGGTGCAATGCCCTAAGGACTCTGGGGCGAAGGCCTCCTGACCAAGTTGTGGTCCACACAGTCATTAGCAGCAGGGACAGGAACAGCGGTGAGGGAATGCTCTGCTGATTTGTGCAGGCCGTATGATGGACTCAGGAAGACATGGTTGTGATCAGAAAATGAACTGGGCAGCTGAGTAATACAAGGAGAAGAATCTGAGTGAGGTTTCTATTAGGAAGTACAAATACGGAAAGAAGGAATTAAGAGCTACCCATGTGAACTTTTTGGCTTATAGACAGAAATATCAAAAGATATCAAGATAGCTAGGTGTGGTGGCTCACACCTGTAATCCCAGCACTCAGGAGGCTGACGCAGGAAGATCGTTGCGAGTTTAAAACCAGCCTGGGCTACAAAGTGAGCTCAAGGCCAGCCTGAACTGCATAGTGAGACCCTGTTTCAGAAAGACCAAAGGGTTGGGGCTGGGGATTTAGCTCAGCAGCAAAAGCGCCTGCCAGGCAAGCGCAAGGTCGTGAGTTCGGTTCCCGGTACCGGAGAAAAACCAAAA